GGGGGGGGGGGGTAGGCACTGGAGGAGGCTGGGCTGCACAACTTGATGGATCTCTCATGGATGACATTTTACCACCATGCAAATTACTCTCCGCACACTGCGCACCTAACACATCCTCTGCTGGGTGCACTGCATGGATGCCTTGTTTCCAGGGCAACCTCACCTGTGGGGGAGAGGCAACCAATGGATGGGCTAAGCCTATTTCCTTGATAACTTAGGGCCCTGAGGTAGATGAACAGCCCACTGGTGCATGAACTCAGCCCTAAAGCTAGAATAGAGCCAGGGAGGGAGGGGGTGAAAGGGAATCCAATGGGGGGAAATTTGTGGGTCAAGGTACCAGAGCTTTCTCTGAAAATAACCGAGTTAGTGGTTCCCTTAGCCTTCAAGTTGCCCTAAATATCCTAGTCACAGCACGACCGATCATAGCTGGTCTCAGTCCTTCATTTCTGCTCTCACAAGACAGCCATCAGATAAGATTCATTTGTTGGAATGTTTCTAAGTCACAATTTAGAAATGATAACGTCCACCAATGCCTGTTCTTTTTCTTTTTTCTTTCTTGTTTTCTTTTTTTTCTTTTTATAGGGACGCAATGAAGCACAAGTAGGGAAAGAATCAAAATTAAGAGAATGGAGCTGATGAAAAGTGGCTAAAGCAGAAGACAGTGCAGGGAGGTACAGGGGTGGGTTAGCAACATCACCCACAAAGAGTAAACCAGATTCCTTCAGTGTGTTGACTTCTCTGGGGAAGCTGGAGGAGTCTGGGGCCAAAGGAGGTGTCCTCTGGTCAAGGTCTTTCAGAACAAAGATTCTGTCCTCACCACAGAGAGCAGCATGGACAAGACAGAGATAACTTAGCAGGCCTTGTCCTTGTGGCTCCTGGTGAAATGCCAGAGTCAGTGGGGCTCAGTGGCTGTACAGAGTGGAGCCTGTGGGCCCTGTGGAGCCCCAGACATGTAAGATAATATTTTAAGTGCTCACTTCTCCCTGAGCTCCCTCTGACACTGCAGCTATTAAGCTAAGCCCCAACCCCCTAGAGGCAGGTGGGCTCTGAAGTCCAACAGCACTGTCCTGGGAAAGGGAGGGAAGAGCTCCAGGAGGCTCTGGGGCAGTAGAGGCTTTGGCTGGCAGGGTAGAAGTGTGTTTGTGAATTAATGGCTGGGCATCTTACCATTTAGTCATTTGGAGATAAGAAAGCAGACCAAAATTAAAGCAAAACAAAGACCCCGGAGGAAAGGACACAGAATTGAGGAGGTACATAAGTGGGGGAGGCAGAGCAGGGGGCTACCCAAAGCTTTTAGGGTACTTTAAAAGGCTTCATGATTCCCAAAGACCCCTACCTCTCTCACCGTTTTTCGATTCTGCACCCCCCCTCAGCACACCCCCTAGGAGGTACCCAGGGTCTACAAGAGCAGGGGCTACAGGATTTCAAAGAAAGGCTCGGCACCCGAATGGCCACATTATCCACCTAGCACTGGAGGCTGCACTATGTCAAGTAAGAAGCTTTGCAGAAAGAGGTCTTATTTCCTCCTTCCCCTTCCCCTCTGGAAATAAAAGTAGGTTGCATTTCTCCTGCCCCCGTTCCCTGGTCTCTCAGACACGCAGCTGAGAGCACCTAGTCAAAGTCTCGGCCCAGGATATCAGTGCCTGCGCCTTTTGTACGGATACCGCCAGCTTCTGCCGCTCCGGTGAGAGGCCAAAACCAGTCACTGGGCCTAGGGGGTCTTCCAGGTGGTTCAGAGGTCAGCTACTGGAGTCACATGGGGCAGGCCATGAGCGCCTGGGGCCTGGATGTGGGGTGGTCGACTTCTGCCCCCCCCCCCC